TAGACTTCACATATATATTAAATAAGAAGAGCTTACAAGACGGATTGAATCTTTCTTGTTGAGACTTTGAAAAACACGCACACTCTATTACCCGGGATGGTACTCAACACACTGCTGGGAAATACCTGATAGCAGTGAAGAGAGTCCGGTGTGTGATAAGCCCTTGATAAATATTTGTTCATTGAATGATAGGAATGTTCAGGCTCCCCGTTTCACCCTGTCTATGAGACAACTGGTAAATTCATCGTGCAAAGCCAAGGCCTCAGTATCTGTAAGATATGAAAACCGGTAGCAGGGAATGAAAGCCGATTATATACATGGCATGTTTTATGACCTTATTATCCACCAAATCCTCTCATCCCAAGTTCAGGATAATTAAAATAATTTGATTCAATGAGCAAAAGCTTAATTCAGGTTCAGACCCAATGCTGAAAGGCCAAGAATTATTTATATCACTTACCCCTAATTCATTTGTTGTTTGGCAAGCATAATGCCTCATCACTAGATTTTATTTATATTAGGATGCTGGGGACCCAAATAAAATACTTTCCATGCAGGGACCGTAAACCCCGACATTTATTTGGTTAATAGATTAACTAGGAAGGTCTACGAAGGAGGCCACTGAGTGGAATCCAAGTAAAATTTTTATTTTAGCTGCTATCTCAGAAACTATGCTACAGAAAAGTTCAATTCAGGTACCAAACAGCTCCAAAAACCTGATTATTAAAAAATGTGTCAACTCCTGAGTATTCTACCTACAAGGACAATTTTGCCTGTAGAATGCTTGCTTAGAACAGAATGAAGTGCATTTCAAGGAAAGTAATATCATGACCTATATTCCCAATATTATCAGGCCACTGGTAAAGCTGTCCTCATCTAGGAAAAAAACAAAAAAAAAGAGGGGGTGGGGAATAATGAACAAAGTTAACTTGAAAAGACTTCTGGCTTGAATAGTGCCACTTGACCATGGAACTCTCCAGATAGGGTCATCTCAGTAGGAAAAGGGGCTATGGAGGGGGGCAAGGTCTCTGCACCACAGTTGGTGGGTGAGCTTGACAGGAGGAAACACAGGTGAGGGTTTGGGGAGTTGAGGAAATTGTGTCCCGGAAGTGATAGTATCAAACTGAACCCCTCTTCCACAAGCATCCAGGCCAGGAGTAAAACTGATCCACAGCTGGACTTACAGGAAACTTAAGGAAAAATAAAAATAAGAACCCTCAAAACTTACGTAAGGGACTGGGTAATTTTCTGGAAAAGATTCATTAGTATTTAAATAACAAGCTCCACTCTTTAAGCTCCACTTATCACATCCACAGTGCCTGGAAGACATTTAGCCTCCTACCCAGGAGAATGCTTTTCTATCTCTTTGAGGATCTCTTTCCTAGCATTTCAGCAGAGAAACCCAATTATCATTTATACCTTGCTGTCCAGAGAGCTTGGCTCTCCAGCATAACTCATTTACATTCTAATCAAGGCCGTGAAGAACCTTCCAGTAAAGTCTTCCGTGGAATTTTGCAAGTAACGGATGAAATGAGGCTGAAAATCAATGCCCCCGAGAATTATGCACCAAGACAGAGCATTTTGATGACCCAGGAAATCTTAATAGGTATCGATTGAGCTGCCATCATTAGGCTTTTCTCTCCAGCATTGTAGAGTGATGGATTAGGTTCAAAGTCCGATAACTAGAAACTGGCAAAAAGGAAAATCTCCCAATTTAAAAAGAAAGTCATTTCACCACTTTCAAGTGTCGGGTCCCATGACCCTGCCTAGAATCATAAATGAGCTAGTATCATGCAGATACAGCACCAGGACTCCTAGGTGTCAAGGGTGAGGACACGCATGGCCAAGTAATGGGCAATCTTGGACTGACAGGTGGGGTCTTGGGCTCCATTTCTGCCACTTAATAGCTGTGTCACTTCTCCTCCCTGAGCTCCCATTGTGTCAGCCATAAAGCCGCCCTGAGCTATGTGTATTCATCCAGGGAAGTCTGTGTGCCGGGGATCACAGCGGGCTCTGTGGGATGATTGGAGGATGAACACCCTTGCCCCTGTCCTGCAGAGACTTGCAGGTTCAGGAGAGCACATAAGTGAGTCGGTGTCATCAGGCCACAGGTTGTCCCTCTCAGTTCTGTTCCTGCAAAACTGTTCCATTAGTGATAAGCAGTCAGTACAGACTGCTGTGTTTAGAAGTGGCCAGATCATTTTCGAAATACTACTGCGTAAAGTTCCTCTTTGAAAAGCAGAGAATTCAAAAATGGAAAAGGACCTTATGTTGCCCTCAGGCTGGAGCCCCAGAAAAATCATTCCAGGTAACTGAGCCTCTCCCCTTTTCCACAGAATTCTAGAAAAGGGAACATTGCCAACTCCAGTGTCCAATGTTCTGTACTGTTGGAACATGTTTTTTGTTAGCTAAGAGTTGAGCTAAGAACTCAGTCCACCCCCTTGACCTCTTGCCTCTGTTTCCAAATTTAGAGACAATGAAACCCATCTGGCTCCATCCAGTGTGTCCATAAACCTCTATGTTTCTGAAGATGGGAGACCTGTGACATCCAGATATGCGATGGCCCTTTGTTCTCCACATTGAATAACCCAAGTCTTGGTCACAGTTCAGACAGTTCCATTGAAGAGATGCTACCATGTGCAAAGGGATAAGAAAGTGTTCAGACGTAAGGAGGTCTTCCCTCTTCCCTCTGCTCTGAGGACTTGCAATTTAGTTGATGAACAAAAGTCATACTCGAGGCAGTGAGTGAATACAAGACAACAGTCTACACAGGAGGCAGCTGCTTGCTTTCCTGGGTCTGCTACAACAGTGTGCCACAAGCTGGGTGGCTTAAAAGAACTGAAATTCATTTTCTCACAGTTCCGCTAGCTAGAAGTCCAAACTCAAGCTGTCCTCAGGGCCATGCCCCCTGTGAAGCCTGTAGGGGAGGACCCTTCCTCGCCTCTTCCTAGTTTCTGGTGGTGGCCTCCGGACTCCTTGGCCCAGCTGCAGTCCTCCAGTCTCTGCTTCCATAGCCCCATGGGGCTCTCCCCTCCTTGTCTGTCTCCTCATCTTGCTACGATACCAGTCATGTTGGATCCAGGGCCCACCCTACTCCAGTCTGACCTCATCTGGACTAATTACACCTGCAGTGACCCTATTTCCGAATAAGATCAATCTGAGGTTCTGCGGTTAGGATGTGGACATATCTTTTCTGCAGGGAACACAATTCAACCTGTAACAACACCTTGAGGTAACACTGTAGAAAGGAAGCCACGTTGGAGCGTATTTGGCTGAATTCTCTCCTTTTACAGAAGGTGGTGATTCTCAGGAAGTTTAAGTGATACAAGGCGGGGTCGTGAAACTATTAAGATCCAAAAGCAAGACCCAAATCCATTTGGAGTCCTGAGTCCAAATCTGATATTCTTCCCCAACAGGGCTTGTCTAAGTGCTTAAGTATCACCTGAATGTTTCAGACCATAGAGGAGAGGAAGCCAGTACTCTGGGCAGGGGTAGTCAGGGAGAGCTTCCTGGAGGCATGAGCCCTGCTGAGTGGATCATAGGGCTGGGTCGGGAGAACCCCACTCAACACCGTGATCACGGCTGACCACCCTCCTAGACACAAACCTTGTTCTGGTTCTTCTCAGATCCCACCACCAGGAGGAACGCGAAGGCTGGGCCCACAGCGAGAAACCGGTACGCCAGCCAGTGGACCCTCAACAGACCCCACCCCACCGTTTCAACACACACGCTCACCACTGACTGGAGGCTGCCAACACCCAGGGCTGCGGGGTCCCTGGACAAGGAGGGTGACAGTTACAGCGGCAGCCCCTCCCAAGACACAGGTAGGGCCTGCGCGCCTCCTTCTCTATCCCGGGACGAGTAGGGCCCACACCCTGGGCTTCAGGGCCCCACCTGTTCCCTTTCAAGGTCAATTTCAAATTGCTAGACCATTTACCTAACAGGTACCGATACAGCTGTACTGCATTGACCGTGTCCAGCGTCCAGTGAATTCCGCAAAGCAGAGCCAAAGGAGTCTAGTTTGCAGGCATCCCGGATCTCAGACTCACACTGTTCCCTCTCCTTTTCCTTCCTGCCCTGCCGAGAGAGACATAGAAATTTCTAAATGTTCTCCCTCAAGATTACAATCATCCTGATTATACTCTGAGGGCATCTCACCCACTACTATCTCCAGGATTAAGACATTGCGCTTGAAGTTACATGACAAGGTCATAGCACCCTCTATAGGGAACACGGCAGACCCGTTTGACAATTAAACAGGGGTTGATTGTGAGGTAAGCCATTCCTACCGTACCATCCACCACCAAGATCTCACCCTGCAGAGAAGACGGAGCCTAAGAATAGCACTGGGTTGCCCACCCCACCAATCTGAAAGTTTGAAAAGAAATGATATCTAAACTTAATAGCGGTAGGAAATTTTAATACTCATTTTCTTTTGTGCTGGATGATATGCTTCAAAAATAGTCTCAAAGGCGGCGTGTCACCATGTACGTTTATTCTTATGGCAGTTACTCCTCTTACAAGAACCTCAGAGTTCCACAGAGGTGACTTCAGAACTTTTGAGTGGGTTTAAAATGCAGAGAGTCCTCTACCCAAGATGCTCCTTTTATGGTTCTAGAGGTTTCCTGGCCCCCGTAAAGGGTGGCACACACAAAGAATGAGTCCCAGGGTCAGAAGTCATTTGGCCTAGTGAGCAATTCCGTGCAGTCACATCTTCATCTCTAACCATCATCCTGTCTTCCTGCCACACAGAGGCCAGAGGAGCTGAGTGCAGAGTTCAGATCATTCCTGCCAGTGAAAGACTCTCTGTGGTCCAGGGGCAGGGAAGGGGCCGCTGCAGTTCATTTGCACCGCATTCCCAGCTGTCTTAACTAAAAGTGGAATTTTTTCAAGGGGATGTATTACTGATCTATGGCAGTGTCCCAGGCTGGGGACATCTGACTCCAGAGATTCTGTTGACACCCCGAGGCCACATGGCTGAGGATCATGAAGGTGGCCTTACAGTGACAAAGGCAGTCCTCAGACAGAGACCAGGCACCCCTGCCGGGCTACCCAGTGACTGGAAGAAATAGACACAAGCCCAGAGCGCCACCCAGTCAGTGCAGACTCACGGTGACACATCACCCGTCTTGTTTTCTCTTTTGCACGGCACAGATCGAGCGCGAAGCAGCATGGTCTCCACAGAAAGTGCCTCTTCCACTTACGAAGAACTGGCCAGGGCCTACGAACACGCCAAGATGGAAGAGCAGCTGAGGCACGCCAAGTTCACCATCACGGAGTGCTTCATCTCAGACACATCGTCCGAGCAGTTGACGGCAGGGACAAATGAGTACACAGACAGCCTGACCTCCAGCACCCCTTCAGAATCGGGGATCTGCAGGTTCACCGCATCTCCCCCCAAACCTCAGGATGGAGGACGCGTGATGAACATGGCGGTTCCGAAGGCGCATCGGCCAGGTGAGGCGAGACACGTGTGGACCAGCGGTCGGGGAAGCTCGTCTTCCCAAGTCACACTGGCCTGTTGTGAAAGCCCTGTTGGTGCTCACACTGGGTCTTCTGTTTATTGACTGCTGCATAACGCACAGCCCCAAAGCTTGGGAGCTTTTACAACAACAATGATCGTTTGTTTCATTCTTGAGCCTGAAATTGAATCAGGGCTTCGTGGGGACACGCATCTCGGTTCCGGCCGTGTCGATGGGGGAGCTCAGTTATGGATAGAGGAGCCACGTTCCAAATGGCTCACTCACCTGGAGGGTTGATGCTGGCCGCAGCCTCCCTACATAGGTTTCTCCACGAGGTGTCTTGTGCATCCTTATGTCACGGTGACTCAGTTCTAAGAGCCAGTGTCCCAAGAGAGACAGTGGAAATAGCCAGTTTCTTAAGGTTGGGCCTGAAAACTGACCCATCACTTCTGCCATATTCTGTTGTTCAAGCAACCACAGAGCTCTGGGAGCCCAGATTCTAGAAAAGGAGAGTGCCACCACATGAGGAGTATCGAAGATATGGGGGTGATGTTTTAACACTGCCGTGCTGTGGGTTTCAGAAGGAGAGCAGTCTTACCAGGGAGCCAGCCTTTGGCACTTGGCTTCCCTGAGTTACCTAAAGTGACAGTAAATAGCTAGTGTCAGGTCGGCCAGTAGTTTGGTGTCTGCCTTGAGCAGTATTCTGGGTGTGTGGATGGGAGCTGCAAACCCTAAGACCTGCAGGGCCTGGCAGATCATGTAAGTGAAGAAGGTGGGGGGCAGGGTAAAGGGATGGATGGCGACATGGAGAATTCAAGAGCTGAGTGACTATCTAGGGGAAAAGGACTCTAGCAGCCTCCTGCCAAGTGATCCCGAGTGGAAACTGGGGGCCGTGTGAGCGAGTTTCTCAAGAGAAGCCAGAAATTTTGGTGTTATATGGCGACTCACACTTTTCAAGTGTTTGCTCAGATACGTGCAAACCATCGTACGGGGCAAATGAAACACATCTTTAGTTTGGATCCGAACCACGGCAGCCGGTTGTAGTTCTCTTCTGAAGAATCACTTTTTCTTTTTCACCCTGAAGTACCTGTCTGTAGACTCGACTTTGTGCACTGGCCTATCCATTCTTGTGGAATCCAGTTTTATGTCTCATCTCCCCATTTTCTGAACACTGCTACAGGTTCTATTTCAAAAATATATCTTCATTTTAAATCCCCACGATTCCTTTGGGCTTTATGGCATAAGGCCAAGCTGAAATGAGCTTTGTAAATGCATAAAGATATATAAAATAAGAATTGTCTATCCAGCAACTCATCTTCCAAACTGAGTCAAGACCCACACGAACCTCCTGTCAAGAAGGATAGCTTCATTTATTTCCGTGCTCTCTACCTCCTCAGGGAGAAGACTTTACTTGTGGGTGTTTTTATTCAAGGACTTTCTGTTGTTGGCATTTATTTGCAAGGCAGATGCAGCAAATGTAGGAGAAATGCCATAGCATTTTGTGGCTGTAAACCTCGAGAGTAAGGAAGACGAGAGAGGAGAAAATGAGCCAGTGGACAGGTTGTTTAGTCTCGCTGGGCTGCAGTTGGCTCATCTGTAAAATGGGCTCAAATGTAAAATGGGCATGGCATCGACACCCACCATCTGGGGTTTGTGTAAGCTGTATGTCGCCTGATGCAGGCGTCAGCAGCATTAGTTGTAGCTTCTGTTGTCGCCTTGTTCACTTGTTGTCGGGGCTCCCACGGTGACTCTAATGATGGTCTGCAGATGTGCTGCTCTCCCCCCTCTTCCTTCTTTGGTTTATTTTCCTTCCATGGCCATTGATTCCTGGAGAGCGTCCGCCTCATTTGTGTATCAATATCACCCAGTTAAGTATATGCTTTACGCTCCCATCTGAGATACATGCCATGCTTCCCCTTGTGTAGAACCAGCTCCTAGGTTAAAGGTCCTATGTGTGCCGGTCTTGAAATCATTAAAGGTTCGTATCTTTTTGATGGCTTGTTGTTCATCGTGTTGGATTCCTATTGAAAAAAAATGTTTGAACTGTTTTCATGATATTGTTGCCTGGATCCATCAGAACAGCTGAAAGGTCACAAGTAAGGTACTATTGTCATAATATGCTATTTAGACTAAAAGGATTTTATAACTGTAGGTATGGATAACTTTTTAAATCCTTATGAATTCAAATGCCCACAAACATTGTTTCATCCACTCTAAATGATGTATTATTATTACTGGACATTTGGTATGCTTTTAGAAAAATATTTCATCCTTCTGGAAGCCTTTCTGTTCCTCCTTTATAATGGAACTAAATTCAACACTGGGCACAAAACCTAAAGTTACAGTTTATTATCCTGCTGACTGGAGACTGTGTCAAAATTAGCAGTTCCTTGAACAGGGCTTCCAAACCAAAGTCTTTACCTGTGTTCCCTTGTGTTTCTAGACGCTATCAGTCATCCAAATCTCTGGATATCTTTCTCCTTACCATCAGTTCTTTTCTGATGAGTTTTTTTGGTTTTTTTTTTTCCATTTACAACCCCAAGCTTTTAAATTCTCTACAAATCAGGACTAAGCTAAATGAATTTGGCCAGATGGTGGCTGCAGGAAAATAGGAAATATGTCTTAGTTATCTGTATATTTCTCTCCTGGTGTCTAGCAGATATCTGGCCGCATAGCGAGTGTTCAAGAAATATTTTTAACCAGCTTAATGATATTGAATGTATATACCTAACGTTGTGTCTGATGTAGAGCAGGTGTTTAATAAATGTTATTGAATGAATGAATGTATCATGATTGTGAAGATGACAAGATTGGCCGATTGGTTCAAATATTACAATGGTTAGAAATTATTAAATAGAAACTATTTCCATCTTTAAAAACAAAAGACAAAGCAAACACACTAACTCTCTGTTCCCCTGAGAAATAGCTGGAAAATTTAACAGCTTCTTTTCCTCTCGGCCAAGGTGGCTTCCAGTACCTCGGTTGCGATATAGCTACTTTCGGTTTCAGGTAGCATCTGGAACCAGTTTCTGATGTTCTTGGATTACTACTGCTTCTTTATTCATGATGCTTATCCTGTGCAATCAAGAGATGCCACTGCAGGAAGCTACTTAAATCAATTTAAAGCTTCAAATCTGCAACCTAACGCAGCCCGGCCCCGCCAGCAGCAAGGGCAGTGTCCACCCCTTCTGATCTCCTCCCTGAGACGCTGGGACCCCAGCCTTAAACGTCTGCACCTCACTGACCCCCTGCTCCTCCGCCGTGATGAATGCAGGGGAGGTTTTCCGGTTGGAAATGGCCGTTGCTTGCCACCAACTTATTGGTTCTCTGAACGACCAGTTATACGAAGCAGTTTGAGGATTTTAATTTTAGGATCCACTCATCACGTACCTCACGCTCCCCTGGGGGGGTGTGTTTAAAGGGAGAGAAGAGAGTGGAGTGAGAGACAGGGCTCCCACCTGAAGGACCAGCCAGCCTCTGCTCAACTCATGTCCCCTGCAAAGGCTGGCCTTGTTCTCAGCTGTCGTGTGCACATGTCATGTACGCACGCACACGTGCACACACACGCACAAGGCTTGAGTTCCCCTGGCCTTCACCCTTCTAGAGATGGCCCTGCTCCTTCCCGCCCACCCCCCCTGCCTCCCCGCCTTTCCTCCAGTGTGTATTTTCTGGCTTCCGCTCCACACCTAGCCCTGTTTTTGGAGCTGGGGATACAACGGCTGACAGGACCCACGAAGACCCCGCTTGGAAGGAGCTTATGTTCCTGGGGGGAGACAGACACTTATCAAGTAAACAAATAGTATTGTTTCAGATCATGGTCAGCACTGGGAAGGGAAGTAAACCAGGAAGGGTATAAAGTCTGGCAGGAGGTACTTAGGAGAAGATGGTCAGGGGAGTCCTCTCAGAAGCAGTGAGACGTGAGCTGAGACCTCAGTGGTGGACGGGCAGGGAGACCCGGGCAGAGACCCTGAGAAACGGGTCCACGCGGAGGGAAGAGCAGAGATAAAGGCTGGCAGACAGCAATGAGCTTGGCATCCACAGCACAGGAAGAGTTTCCTTCCATCCAAGCTGTGTTTGAAAGGTGCAGACTTTCAAACACTCCCCCAGAATTTAAACTCAGAAAGACCCCCCGGGGCCATGAAGCAACATCTCCGCGTATTCACGCAGCTCTAGGTAGACCTTAACATTCGAATGGGCTCATTCTGACTCCCTCCTAGAAAACCAAACCTTTCTGATGTGCATTTGCAATTCTGTCTTCTTAAGGACCCGCCTGTAACTTCAGTCTGTTCTTTGTCGCTGTCCCTCAGACACAGAAAGTGATGGCGGGACTTTTTCTGAGGGTCCCAAGCTTGGAACCCTGAGCGCGTTTGCCTTTCCTAGCCATCTCCTCCCCCCTTCACGGGGCACAGGTGCCGAGCTTTCCTCCGACCTTGCCACGTGCTCTGGCTGTTTCACTGTGGCTGCAGCTATGTGGAGATTTTCTCTTTCGTTCTCACTACATTCTCTCTGACTTCTGAGTCCATTGGCGACTTGCTGCTTTCCTAGGTGGACATATTGCGGTTCTGCTCTCATTGTTGAGGAGCCTACAGGGGGTGGAAGTGAGGGGGAGACCTGGGCCTGTGACAGAGGGGCAGGATTGCCACTTGTGTCCTGCTGAGTGACCAGAAGACAGCTCTGGATTCCAGTGCATGGATGACAAGCAGAGAGGCTCACCGCCATGAAGGAAAGTCCACCGCATCTCCAGAAGGGCCCTGTCAAAACACAAATGTCATACACTTGTTTGTTCAACCCATCTCTACTGAGCATCTTCCCTGTAAAAATACCATGCCAGGTATTACCTGAAGACATCAAAGTGTTAATATGTTAAACCAACACTTCCCACAGTCTCCTTGTTTATCAGAATAGCACATAGTGTCACAGACAGCAGACAAAGTGTCCCAAAGACGGGTCATTGAGGAGGTCCAAGAAACAAGGCAAAACCCAGCTTATGGAAGA